CGTTGTACGTAGGTCGGGGGGTAGGTCATTCCAGAGGGCATGACCTATTGTTATAATTATTAATAATTATAACAATAGATAAGTGAATAAAAATGCCAAATTCAGCATGAACCTCTGGCTGACTAAGCAACCAACTAATACTTAGATTTGCATATGCTTGACTTCAAACACCGGGCCTCCACTTGCATAATCTTGGCTGTCAATGGAATGATAGCATTTGGTCTTGCTGCTTTTAGAAATCTCTCTGAATGCTTCCTTCGCATCTGTTGTGTTGCTTTCCTGTCATGCTAATGATTAGAAATTTCAGCTTCTCATCCATAGGAAGTGAAGTCTTGTACCATAACAATATTCCAACTAGCTCAATTTTGTGCAGTGGGCATTCTGGTTAGCCGTTCCAAGTGGTATAGTCATAGCACTTCTGGAGGCATCAAGTTGTGAAAGGCTTAACGATTCAGAACACAGTTGTTACTGCTGGGATGGAAAGACAGAGGGGGGGGGCTTCTTTCTGGGGCCCACGTGACTCCATGACAATCTGTTGCCTTTCTGTAACAGTCCTTCTATGGACCAGAGTTACGAATGTGAAAGGGGAAGGGAGGAAATGTACGATCGGATTGTTACAATCCGATCTATTTAGCATTTGCTCTATTAAAATAGTCTTCTACTTACAACAGTTCATTTAGTGATCGTTCAACATTATAGCGGCACTGGAAAAAAGTGACTTATGACCGTTTTTCACAGTTAACGACCTTTGAAGCATCCCCATGATCATGTGATCCAAATTCAGATGCTTGGCAGCCGATTCATACTCAACAACCGTTGCTGTGTCCCAAGGTCACGCGATCCCCTTTTGCAACTTTTTGACAAGCAACGTCAATGGGGAAGCCAGATTCACTTAGCAACCAGATTACTAATTTGTCAACTGCAGTGAATCATTTAACAACAGTAGCAAGGAAGGTCGTAGAATGGGGCAAAACTCACTTAACAAATGTCCAACAGAAATGTTGGGCTCGATTGTGGTGGTAATGCCTGTATGGCAGTTTGAACCAGCTGTAGCTGTCCCAGTTGCATTGACACACGTGATAACATCTACATTGGTTGCCATTTGGCTTCTGAATGCAATTAAAGGTTCCGGTCGCTTTCTTTGAAGCCCTCTGTCACTTAGTGCAGGACATCTTTGAGAGTGCCTCTCCAGCTGGAACCTGCTCCGGTTGGAGGGAAAGCATGGTGTGAGTCTACTTCCAACAGAGGGTTGACACCAGGGGCCCTGAGGGTGAGCTGTCTTAGTGGTAGCCTCTTCTTCTCAAACAGTTCATCCCTAAAGATAATAATAATAATAATAATAATAATAATAATAATAATAATAATAATAATAATAATAATAATAATAATAATAATAATAATAATAATAATAATAATAATAATAATAATAATAATAAATAATAAATAATAATAACCATATACCGTTTCGGACAAATGGCTGTCCAGTTTCTTCATAAAAACTTCCAGTGTTGGAGCATTCACTGCTTCTGGAGGCAGGTTGTTCCACTGGTTAATTGTTCTAACTGTCAGGAAGTTTCTCCTTAGTTCTAGGTTGCTTCTCTCCTTGATCAGTTTCCACCCGTTGCTTCTTGTCCTGCCTTCAGGTGCTCTGGAGAATAGTTTGACTCCTTCTTCTTTGTGGCAGCCCCTGAGATATTGGAAGACTGCTATCATGTCCCCCCTCGTCCTTCTCTTCGTTAAACTAGACATACCCAATTCCAGCAGCCTTTCCTTATATGCTTTAGCCTCCAGTCCCCTAATCATCTCTGTTGCTCTTCTCTGTACTCTTTCTAGAGTCTCAGCATCTTTTTTACATCGTGGTGACCAAAACTGGATGCAGTATTCCAAGTGTGGCCTTACCAAGGCATTGTAGAGTGGTATTAACACTTCACGTGATCTTGATTCTATCCCTCTGTTAATGCAGCCTAGCACTGTGTTGGCTTTTTTAGTCGTCAACGTACGGCCACAATTGAGCCCAAAAATTCTGTTGTTAAGTGAGTTTTGCCCCATTTTACAACTTTCCTTTCCACAGTTGTTGAGTGACTCATTGCAGTTGTTAAGTTAGTAACACGGTTGTTAAGTGAATCTCGCTTCCCCATTGACTTTGCTTGTCAGAAGGTCGCAAAAGCTCATCCCGTGACCGTGGGAGACAGCAACAGTCATAAGTCTGAGCCAGTTGCCAAGCATCTGAATTTTGATTGTATGATCATGGGGATGTTTCAAAGCTCGTAACTGTGAAAAATGGTCATAAGTCATTTTTTTTTTGTGCCGTTGTAACTTTGAATGGTCGCTAAATGCATTGTTGTAAGTCAAGGACTACCTGTACTTTTCTGAAGAGCAGTGAAGGTGTGTCACTTCTTCTGCAGGGCCCTGGGGAATGAAAAGAAGTTATGATGAGGGCAGTAGCAGTATGTTTTGAATCAGTTATCTAGGTAGCCCAAAGTATTTTGTAGGATTAAGTGAGTCTATAACATATTTGGTAGGATCTGAAGTTGTCAGCTCACATCATTTTAAATCAGCTCATAGAAGATAACTCCAGAGAATTTTGCAATGTGTACATGTTTACTAGCATAATTAATTTAGTTTAAAATGATCAACGTCTCATTCCCAGTACAAGAATAGTAATAAAGTAGCACCCACAATCCTGGCAAATCTGTTTATCAAATTGTTTGGCTGCGGTCTGTTTATATTGCTGTAATCTTCTGTTGCCTTGAAACTTGCGTTATGAAGTAAAGCACAAAATCACGGTTGAAGGTTTCATCGGTTTTAGTATCTTGCATCAACATCAAAAGCAGGATATGTGTAATACCCAGAATTACTTGGATTTATTCCGTGAAAGTTGCCTTCGCCAAAAGTAGAAAGAAACCAAATTTTTTTTAAAAAGATGTCTGTCTCATATTTGTGCCAAAATAAGGCACATTCATTGCTTTCTTATCAGTTTTTGATATATTTAAAGGTAAAATAACAGAAAGTATTGTTCATGCAGTCCATATCCCAGGTTTTTTTTTTTTAAATAATATTTAAAAGTGCTTTAGCAATTAGGTGCTGTATTATTGGCTTATCACAGTTTATTTTACATGCAGAATTGATAGGATATAATATTGTTGCTGACAATTGTTACTGGTCCTTGGCATCCTGGACATAAACTGTTCCTCCCTCAAGATGATGCTATAGGCCAGGGGTCCCCAACCTTGGCAACTTTAAGACCTGTGGACTTCAACTCCCAGAATTCCCCAGCCAGCATGGCTGGCTGGGGAATTCTGGGTGTTGAAGTCCACAGGTCTTAAAGTTGCCAAGGTTGGGGACCCCTGCTATAGGCCATTGGGCACCAAAACAACCAGATACAAAGACGTTTTTTCCCCCCTGCCATCACTCTGCTAAACAACTAATTCCCACAAAACGGTCTTATGCCCTGAGATGTCAAACCACCTAATAGGGCTATATTACTATTAGTATTATCCTTCTCATCTTTCCTATTACCTATTTCCTTAAGTTCTTATGACTATAACTTTGTTGTTTGTATCTCTTGATTTACTTTGATTGCTTTTGTTTAGTATCCAATTGATTGATTATTTAGTATCCTATGACTATCACTGAGTGTTGTTATCTTATGAATTATGATGACTGTATTTTATTATGAGGATCACGATATGTCACGTTGTACACTTGAGTGCGCGCTGAGAGCTTGTGCACCAGAGACAAATTCCTTGTGTGTCCAATCACACTTGGCCAATAAAGAATTCTATTCTATAAAGAACTCTAGTCAATTGTTTATGATTTGCTAGGGAATTTATTTTAGAGCTGGGGTCACTCAGCCAATGTTGATTAGTAAGTGAATGTGTCTCTCTACCAGGGGTAGGCAACCTTGGCTCTTTTATGACTCGTGGACTTGAACTCCCAGAATTCCATGCTGGCTCAGGAATTCTGGGAGTTGAAGTCCATGAGTCATAAAACAGCCAAGGTTGCCTACCCTGCTCTAGACAGAAGACAAAAATATGATTAGATTGATAGTGAACATCATGGGTGCTAGAGAAGTTGGCAGGGAACATTTCCTACCCAGGCTTTCACTAGCAGATATTTCTTTTATGGAAAATCATGGCAGTCACTGTATATAATTTTGCCTACACATCTGTACAAGACAAATATTATCAGGAAAAAGGGAATAGTTTAAAAGTAGCTAATTTTAGTTGCAAACTGGAAAATAAACACTTCAAAGTCATAAAATTGAAATATGGATCAAGCTATACATGTATAATATATAGGGATGGAGAACAAATTCATATTTACAAGAAATGTATTCTAAATTTTATTTATTTTAGAGTATAAATTAATTCAGATTTAGAATTGCACTGGCTAAGATAAGCAGAATACTGGCTAGAATACAGAGTTAACTGTTCTTTTTTTTCTGCTTGTTCTGCGAAAACGTGGTGCATATTTAGGGCCCCAATGACAAAAGCTCTGGGGCAGCTTTGATCAAAGACTTGCATCAGATAACTTTTGATATTTATTGCATAAAAGGCTCTTTGAGGTTTAAAGTGTTGAATGATCAAGAAGTAAGTGGTTTTTTTTAAATCAAGCACATGCAATTTAAATATACTTTAATTCACTTTGTCATTGAAGCTGATCTTACTAAGGCCTTAAACTTATAACTTACCATTTGATTTAAATAATATTTGTTTCTGAAAGACTACATGAAGAGATTGATAGCGCTCTCCGTCGTGGTAAATTGTTAAGGAGTTCTTTAGCCATGTGGAGAATGCCTACAATCCTAAAGGCTGTTGTGTTATTTTTTAACAGGAAAAAATGGAAAGCAATTTGCACCTTCAGAAGTCAACTAAACCAGACAGTGTTTGGTGCTGATACAATTCTGATTCCATTTAAATTAAAAAGAATAGTAATAGTTTTGTTTATGTTAATCCCAAATTGATGGGCTGTTACACCATACCGAAGAGCTTAGTTCTTCTGCCATTTCTTTTAGATTACATCTTTTTATTGCTCAGTGAAATTCAGTTGATTTGCCAATGTTTTAATTTCGTTGTTACAAGCCAAATGGCTCTGGTTTCTTGCTATCTCAATGAAATTTTATGAGTTTTCTTCCCTAAATACAGCTTGTATTATAGCTTGTATTCCAATTGTAGCCATTGTGATCTATTCCAAGTAGCGCAAAAATAAGTTTTGTCCTATAGTTTACATGCCCTGCTGGTTTCCTGTGACAGTTTTTCCTCTTCTTATTTTTGCACAGGAGTTCCAAAAAGCTCTGGGAGCCAAACATTCCGTGTATGACACCACCAACAGGAGTGGACGCTCTTTAAAAGAAAAAACTTCCCTTGCTGATGACAGTCTGAAATTGGATGATATGTTGAGCGAGCTTAGAGACAAATGGGATACGGTCTGTGGAAAATCTGTAGAAAGGTAGAACCCAAAGCTATGCATTACATTTAAAAGATGACCCACAAAACATGGTACTAAGCGGAAAGGACTCTGATTTCTTTTTTTATATCATTGGCTTTTCTCTTAATTTATTGTCAATATCTGACCTTGATTAGTCTAATCTCACAAGAGGCCACTCTGAGCCACAGGATGGAGTTCTTGGCTGCACATGCAGCTTTTGAAATGTTTAAATAAAACTGCTTAAATCTCAGCCAGCTGTAGTTTAAGCATATGGTTTGTTTTTTATCCGTGTGATGAAATGAGATCTGCTCCTTCTCAACCAATTTCTGCGGAATGGCATAGGAGATCTGTGTCTAACCGTGGGAAGTAGATGGCTACAGATGTGCACCTTTTTTTTCCTTTGCACATCTGTTAGGCCTGGGATTGAGGATCTTGTTTTCCAAGAGGAATGAATTTTGCCCTAATCTCTGTAGTATTCTCTTGAAACTAATATTGACAAACATACATAAACACCAGTATCTCAATGTTGTATTAATCCATCTGAAAACAAGCATAACATTTTGTCAAAGTTCAGGGGAAGGTTGGGGTTGGCATTGGGGTGCTGTGAGTGCATGTAGCCACCCTGAAGATGGATGAGTAGGGGATTGTGTAGGGGATAGGAAGTGGCATACTAACAGAAATATCATATCTTTATTCAGATAAAGACTTCAATAGAAGAGCTGCAGCAACTGCTTTGCAGTCTCAAATTCTGGATTACTTATTCATCAATCAGTCAAATTGGTTTAGCCACCCATCTCACCAGAGGTGACTCTGAGCAACACACAACAATTCGATAAAAACCACAAATATAGAAACATCAGATGTAAAAAAAATATAGAAATTAAATAAATTGTATAAAAAAACCCAAATATATAAACTGCTAGGCAAAGAGGGGATAAAAATGGCCACCTCAACAGTGGAGCCATCTGAGCAAATCTCCAGTTCTCTAGGAGCTGCAGGCCTGATAACATAACAGAAGGCTGAGGGCCTTCTGGAATGTCAAAAGGGATGAAACTCCTCGTATTTTAAGACGAAGCATGCTCCATTATTACCACCATTATGTCGTTTAATCTATAGAGTGGATAAATGTAAAGCCAAGAGTTGGTTTACGTAGGACAAAGAACAGCTGAACTTATTCAGTGCTTCTACTGCCTGTCCACTGGGGCACGAAGGAAAGCAACACAGAGATCCTTCCCCCTGTACTACTGCTGCAATAAAGGAGCAGTTTTAATTGGCTATGACTACTGATAAGAATATTTTTTTTAATCTTTTTACTGTTTTTACCTTCTCTTCTATTTTATTAAAAACAAATAAATTTTGGCTCTTTCCTTTATTTATATAGTATTTTTTCCTAATGAATGTACATGAAAGGGCATTTTTTAAAAGTTTATTTAAAAACGTCTTTATCTTCTTTCTTCAGACAAAACAAACTGGAAGAAGCTCTCCTGTTTTCTGGACAATTTACTGATGCTCTTCAGGCTCTCATAGATTGGCTTTACAAAGTAGAACCGCAGCTGGCCGAAGATCAGCCTGTGCACGGAGACATTGATTTAGTGATGAATTTAATAGATAATCACAAAGTAATGACCATATTACACTAACGTTTGTATTCTTTTTAAGTCGGACTCTATAAATTGTTTTGATTGAGTGACTGTGATATCAATTTATACTTTGTCAGAAAGACTCATGAAACTATTTAATAAAACCCCTACATTGTAGGTTTTCTATAAAAAAAAATTCTTAGGAAAAACTGTGGGAATTTGGTTGGCTCGAAAATTCGTTTTGGAATCTGCTACATTATAAAACTTAAGTTATTTTAATTGATTATTTCAAGATGTTTGCGCCTTGTAAATTACCTGTGGGTAAGGCAATATTCTCTTGACCTCAAATAATATAAGGAAGCTTTATTTTTGAAATCATAAATAATCATGGTTTACTGTGTTGGGATTTGGCCTAGCTTATTTCCAATTCACAGAGAGCCTGTTCCCTTTCCTCCTTGAAAACTAAATTAAAAGTGTCCAGTGTAGATTAGCATTGCATTTGGATCCTGAATTGTCTAATTATAATTGATTGAGAAATAGTTTAATAAGCCATAGGATTTAGTTGGTTTCAACAAGCCACATTAATGAGTAATCATATGAGATTGCAGTAACATAGCAGACTTCAGTTAATGAACCAGCAAACATTCCCAACTCTCAGTGGTCCTACAGACCAGAGAGCTCCTAAAAACATTCCCATTAGAAGAACCCATTTTCTAAATAAGGTTTGAACATATCCATTCTGCCTTTTGTTGTAGAAGGCATGTAGAATGCTGCTGATTAAGAGCAAAGCAAGGCGAAATAAACCTACGTTAGAAAATGTAAAGAATAAGTGCAGTGGATAGAAGACTTCATTAAAAATTTGGAAATGAAAGCATTTTGCCTTATTTAACTTTAAAAAAATTAAGAAAATGCAATTTATGCTTTTAAAACTAGTTGTGCTCAGGAGGGTTTTTTATATAGAAAAAAAAGTCACGTTGCATGTAAGTCATAAAAATGCTTCACGGTTTATTTAACAGGGGGTCATTTATTTATTTTTTAATTTCCTTTGCTCAGGGCTTCCAAAAGGAACTGGGGAAAAGGACCAGTAGTGTTCAGGCCCTGAAACGCTCTGCTCGAGAGCTAATAGAAGGTAGCCGTGATGATTCCTCTTGGGTTAAGGTACAAATGCAGGAGCTTGGTACTCGGTGGGAGACTGTGTGTGCGCTCTCGGTCTCCAAGCAAACTCGACTGGAACAGGCCCTTCATCAGGTGAGAAGCAAAAGCATCACACTGAATTCCATCTGTCTAAGGAAGCACAATGACCTGATCCACGTGTGACATCAAGACAGGAAATTTGTTTTTAAAACAAATGAACAAGCCACTGCGGGCAGATTCATACATTATCCCATGTAGTGGTCTGCAGATGCTTCGATTCCCCAGGAATTTTTCCAGTCTTGTTCAAACTGTCTGGAAATGTTTGGAACTGAAAATAACCTGTACAAAAGTAGTAGTTGCTTCTACAGACCAAATTGAATTTTAAGCAAAATTTCTGATTCCCAACTACATCCCATGTATATATGGGATGTAGTTGGGACTCTGGACTCTGGACTCTGGACTCAGTGAATAATCTGGGATGTACCTCAGGTCAGAGCTGCTGGCCCTGCGCGATTCCCCCCTCGCGCAGGTATGGCCCAATTTGACCTTAGGGGCCTGCCTCGATGACGGGGTATGGAGCCCCGAGAGGTGGTGTGCAGCCAAAGAAACGAAAAATCTAAGGAAGTTGAAGTTGAGGGTATTTTTAAAGGGGTGTTTTAAAAATTTTTTAAGGGGTTCGGGGTTCAGGGTTGGCCCGAGGGGACTTGGGGGAGCCCTCTCAGAGGCCGGGGCCAGTCCAGTCTGGGGGGCGCGGAGTGGTGAGGGAGGAGACTGGGGGATTAATAGAGGGTGGTGTGATAGGTACGGTCAGTGGGAGGGGCAGGTATGGCGGGAGCAGAGGACCATATCGGGTTTTGGGAGCACGCACACGCTGCTT